TTATATAAATTATTTATATGTAATTTTAAATTATGTAATATATTATATATGTATAAATTTTATTTATTTTTAGTCTCAAAATTCTTATAATGATGAAATTTTTTAGATTAAATTGACATTATTATTATGTTAATTTATTAATTTTTTATAATATTATTATTTATTATAACATCCAATTTGACCCAAGTTCGATCGATCGAAGCGATCAAACCGTGAACCTCTCATTTAATCAGTTCATTTTCAGTTTTCACAACCTTGATCACAACACAAAAATCCAACCTGAATCATATATAAAAATTCTATAATATGATAACAAGATCTAATAAAATAAATCAAATTTAGATCAATCGCAATGAAATACTAAAGAAAAAAATTATTCTAAAAGTTTTTAAAGATTTAATAAAGTAATCTTTATAACAAATTAGCTGTACATATTACACATAAATCCATTTAAATATAACTATCTAAAGCATAAGAGAAACGCATAAGAGAAATGCAACAACTTCAATATATCTTAGTTTTAAAGAATTTTAGAAAACATATATGAGACCAACTATATCAAACTTTTTTCTCCATTTAAGTCTATAAAAAATATATCATTTCTAATACTAAATAAAGTTTCGTTTGTGACAACTTTCTTACTGCTTCTTAAAGCAGCTTTCTAATACAAATTTAAAATTTTCATACTAGAAAGCTGCTTTAAAAAGCAGTAAGAAAGTCATCCCAAACAAAATCTAAATCTTTTTAAATCTACCTCTATATCTACTCCATCAAATCATCAAAAGACTGGTGTTTTATATGACCCATCCATCAAAAACGACTCTTCCTAATCTTATTTACCACTAGAGCTAAGGTGATTAGATTTTCTAGTATATATATATATATTACAGCACTATGATACATACCAAACAAATCCACCTGAGATAAAAAAAAAGATATGTTGATTAGTGCAAAAGAACAAATAGGAAAAATTATGCGACTTTAAAAAACATATGAACTCTGGAGCAAAGGAAGCAATGCCATAATAATTTGAATAAATCTTCAATTCACTTGTAACTTACACTATTTTTCCTTCTGCAATATAGCTAAACTATTACCAAAACCAAATTAAAACAAGATACCTCCTTACAGCAGAACTCCACCCACTTATCAAAATTGGTCATCCGCTAAAACAGCAAAGCTGGAGGCAATAATGGTTACACGCTTTCCAGTAACAGCACCGCAGCAAATTCTTCAGATCCACGAGGTTCTGCTGCTCAAGCTAATTTTCTTTTCCAGAAGCTGAATCAAGGCGTTTACAAGAGATGTTACAAAGGGAAAAAATAAAAATCCCTTAACTTTATGGGAGGTAGACCCTGTGGAAGTTCCTCTTTGTGAGCTTCCTCCGGCATGTAGGACACTTCTTCTGCTTTAAGATTGCAGTCTCAATGCAGCTACGACAGAACAAATGACCACAGATCGTGGTCGAAGGCTCATTTAATGAGCCCAAGCATACAGGGCATGTTATATTATGTTCCTTGCTTGGTGCTGAAGCCTCCCACGTCGCAGGATTTGGCCTCATTTCCTTATTTCATAACAAGATATTTTGAGTTTAGAACAAAACTGAAATAACTTCTCAGTGCCATATCGATCAAGATAAAACCGTTCATTGATATTATAAGACAGGAAAACAGCTTACATGAATTATTCGCCATGGAACTGTGCTTCTTTTATTTAATATGCATTAGTAAGTATATGAAACAAATTTGATAATAAATTGGAGTTGAAGGACTTGCAAGAAATGTTCTTGTAAAAAGGAAAATTTGATATTCTAACAAACTTGGCCATTCAAAATAGACAAACAGGTACAAATAATAACAGAAAAATCTTCACACGCTTTGATATTCTAACAAACACTTTTACAACAGACCTTAATGGTAATATCACAATAAACAAGATAAATATTCTTCTCAGTGCCATTATGGGGCTGTTAGATTGGATGTTTATAGAAATACATGTTAAAAATGCAAAATAATTAAAATGATTGCATTATAAAAATCCATGAAGTAAAATTAAACGCAAATTTTTTTCTATGTATGATATATTTCAATGCATTAAAAATTCACTGGCGATGGTCAAGAGTAGCGGTGATGAGGGTGGCATGATCAACTGTGGTGGTGATGAAAAGTGGGTGGCATGCGAATGAGGTTGCGGCCAACGACATGTATAGTAGCGGACTAGAGTTGTGAGCTACAACCACACGGGATTTTTAAGTCAAACAATTTGGATAGTTTCCTAGGAAGAGTTTTGGGTATTTGAAACCACTCAAAATTATGTTTTACATTTTGTTTGCCACAAACCAAACACGAAATTAAATTGCAGGAGAAAAAAATATGTTGCACTCCTAATACTTTCAACCAAACAGCCTCTAAAATTCATTTCAAAACATGGTTATTGCAAGTTTTAGAGAAGAGGTATCAGAACAAAAGTTAGACTCTCCATCCTAAACTGCTAATTTATTCTTAAAAGAGCTACATAACTGACCAGGGAATAGCTTTCAAAACCATACAACCTAGTTAAGGGGTGGAACTTGAAAGGAGTGCAATATTTAACATGACTTCGACCTGTTCAATAAGACAGTACTCTACACATCTAAGAGACAGCTCAAGGATCTAGGCAGGAATGATATTATAAATTCCTGCAACAGATAGAAAATCAATTTCCCTATACATCAAAGGAATATATATTCTGTGTCAAAGGAATATATGTTTATTTGGTCAGCTAACAAAATGTATGCACTAGTTAAATACTACAGCAATTCGGATTGAGCAAGAAGATCCAAAGGAATAAGGACTGGTTTAAGTTTGAAGTTATTTAGATTTGTTATAATCAAGATAGCAATACTATTTCAAATAGAAGTCTAGTCTTTTAGATGCAGTATTTGGTTAAATGTTGCATCTTTAAGAATGAGATTTTCCTTTAATGTTTAAACTCAATTCAAACATTATCGTTGCCAGATCCTGTGTCCTAGCTGAGAAAAATGGATGGTTGTGATAGATAGTCAACAACCAGCACAAAATTTGTTGAATAATGATAACATGAATCATTTAATACATTGTGTTAATGCTAGGGCGTTCCTTAGAAGAGACACGTTGTATAGCCTGAATACAGTGAGAAGTGTGCAATGGCCGATGGTACAGTGTTACATAGGCAAGGGTTTCAAGGACGGATGTGGGCAAAGAAGCTAGTCCATGAAACTAAAGTTTGGATAGGAAATTGAATTATAGGTTCCCTTATAGGCAAATTAATGGAATTAATAAATATTAAGATTCATAAGAAGATAAATATTCTATGCATTCAAGAAATTAAATGAATATGAGAGAAGGCTAAGAAGATTAATAGTTTAAGTTTTAAACTATGGTATGCTGGTAGGAGTCATACTAGAAGTAGCTTAAGTGTGAAAAATGGTACTAAATTTAGATTTGGGATTTGGCTTATGTTAAGAAAAGTAGAGCTTGACCTAAAAATCCTTGGTAAGAAAATATTAGAAATGATTTTTCTTTATTAAATTTAAATAAGAATTTGACTTTTAAAAAGGATTCATGTAGTTGACCCCACGTAGTGGGATAAAGGCTTGATGTTGTTGTTGTTGTTTGTTTAAACTCAATTCAAATTTCAACTAATTCGTGAGTTCAGATAATCAAAATCTATTATTAATCAATTAAAATTACTATAAAATCTGTCATGGTATAAAATCTTAATATGACTCATAAAATTTTACATTTAGTAGTAATATTTTTGTGCTAGCTCATTTGCATGCCACCTTGCATAAAGAGCAAAGGATATAAATAGAAATTGTATATCTTCCTAATTTTCTTATCCCACCATGGTAGTTATCCAACCTGTTTGACCTTATTTAGATGTGTTATAATCAAGAAAGCAGTAATATTCAAATAGTATTCTAATCTTTAAAATGCATTATTTGGTCAAATGTCATCGTAATTGGAATGATGATGCTAAATTCATCAAATAATTAATGATGATCAAAACTTTTTCCCTTTTATCTACTCTAAACCTTCAAGATTAAGAAAATCCTGATTTTAATTTGGCCATATTTTAGATATCTTAAAGACAAACAGAAAAAAATCTAGTCATAAATTAAAGTAAATTATCTCAATGTAAATATTGAGTTTGCATTTGATCATTTTGGCGGCCATGCCTCATCAGATTCATAAAGAAATCGAATCAACATTTATTGAAAGATAGACATGTAAGAGATGCATTATTACCTTCGGAATGCATTTTTCATTTGCATTCAAATCGCAATCAATGATTGTTCTTCCTGAAGGAATTGAAGTATGCAATTTTTGGATACTAAGTGACAAAGTTGTTACTGGTTCCTCCACAACTCCTAAATTAATAAATTCGTAAAAATTAGTTTTTGAAAAATAAATTAATTAGAAACTGACATACATAACGACGTCCAAACAACGACATAAACAGGAGTTCAAGGCATAACCATAAGAAAGTAAAACACAACATGCCGGTAACACATTTGTATAAAGCAATAATATGAAATTGTAATCTGACCATATTTTCTATGGGTGTCAATATAAGACCAAACATGAAAACCAACTCAAATTTGGCACAAAAAATACAGATTTGGGTTAATCCATGTATGATTTCAATTAGATTCCAGTCAAATTCCGGTCAACTTAAGTGACTCGAGAAAGTAGGTTCACATCACCCGAACATAAAGACTTCGATTTTTTTTATTTTAAATATGAAATTATAGAGATTTGTTATTTCATCCAAGTTGTGTTCAAATCAGGTAATCATACTTATTTCTGTTTGGGTTGACACTAACATATCACAACGTAAATATTGTTTTTGTAATATCAGGTTCAGTCGGATTTATTATATTCATGCTTATCGTTTTTTTTTTATATCGAACCCAAGCCCAAACAGTGAACTTGATTTGACAACACTAATAGTTTTTATCAAAAAGTATTATAGAGTAAAGTATAAATCATATATAACACATTAAAAATTAAGGATAAGCAATAAATATATATATCAACTTAATTTCAATTATATTTCAATATATTATAAAATCTAATTTGTTTTGTTTGGTTGGACGTAAGAAAAATTAAGTAAATATTTTTTCTTTTGTTTGATTGGAAGTAAACTGAATCTAAATTTTGTATTAATATATTTTTAAATATATCATTTGTATTAATCTCTGATGCACCGACACTTCGTTTTAAGAGGGTATGCAGTGTCGGACACGGACACGCGTCAGACACGGCAAGGACACGTGTCGGACACGTCATTAGTGTGTCCCATTTAAAAAAAAAAATAAACCGGACACGTGTGTGATGTGAAACGTACATGCGATGATGGAGTTACTTTAAGAAATTAAAGAGAGCAATTGTAGCATAATAACCCAAAATAAAATTATCATTGTCATAAAAGAGTGATCCTTAGAACTCTTAATTTTTAACTTGCTTAGGCAAAGTGGAGCAAGATCAATCAACCAAACAATTCAAGAAGCACAAAGAATAATTGTAAAACTACAATGGCCACAAGAATCCATAATTTAATAATGAGAATTTTCACCTTTGGAGCCCATACGCTCAACTAGTCTAGGCTTTAGCGGAAGAAGAGTCTCCACAGTAGAAGCGAGGTCACTCCAAGGAAGAAGGAGCATAAGATCGTCGTTCTTGGATAGGTGACCGGAGTGGTGGAGGAGAATTATCCTGAGTGCTTGATGTGGTTGCTTGGGGGAAGATTCCAAAGACAAAAACTGAAAATTCCTGCAGGAATTTCAGTTTTGATAGAGGTGGGAGGGAATTAACTTGATGGATTCAAATTAATCCAAATGGGTTTAATGGGGCGGTGAAGGGGGAAGAAATTTGGGCTGAATTTGTGGTGTTCATATGTCATTTGGAAGGAGAAAGAGGCCCACTATGAGTGGCCGGCCCACTAAGGAGGAGAGGGAGAGATTTAGGAGTTATGAGAGTGGGGCCCAAGTTTAAGTAAGAAATTCTATTAAATCTGAATTTTAATTTCAGATTTAATTGGGCCTTAAGTAACTTCCCAATTTGGTTTAATATGAGAGGGAAAAGAATTTCAAATTTCAAAATAGCTCTAAATGTCATTAATTACATTGCCTTAGGATGAATGCTTGATTAGGCAGGTAATTAAATCACAGGGATTGGAGTTCACGGCTTGGGCAGGGCTTGGATTGACCGACTGCAAGAGAACTGCAGGTAGACGGGGCTGGAGGCTCACGGCTGGCTGTTTAGCCGTGGGGTTGGGAGCAGGAAGAGGAGGGGTAGTTGCACGGGAGGATTACCAGGCCGGCTGCCCAAGGATTGGAGGTTGGACGGGCCGGCGGTAGGCAGTCAGGTGCATCAATGGCTTGGGTGGTGGAGCCTGTGGATGGCCGTGGGGCTTCAATCAGCGGCCTGGGATGGGGAGGGGAAGGCGGCAGCAAGGCTGCTGGCCGACTGGAGGCGGGGCAGCTGCAGGTTGGCGGCCGAGCAGAGTGGGGGCAGCGGGATTTTGAGGGGATTGGGTTGTGGGGAAAGGAAATTTCAAGGAGATGTTGTTCCGGATGAAATTCCCTTGAACTATCACACCACTTGACTATAAAACAAACTAAGAGAAGGCCTAGAACTCACAAAGAGATCTAGCTCCTCTCAAAACTCACTAAGAGATTTGAGAGAGGGGTTGTACTCACAAAGAGAACACAAAGCTAATTTCATTTCATCAAAAACTGCCATTACAATGCATGAGGCCTCATATAAATAGGCCAAAATGAGAAAATAAGAAATGACACAAATGCCCTTCCGGGCTACATAAGCGACTAAATGTCCATAAGGGCAAAAACGGAAAAACATCAAAATAAAATACGCTACTACATAAAAATGACAAAATACAAGTCATGCTCGTGGCCGTCGATCTCCGGCGTCGAAAATGCTGACGATGTCCTCATCAGCGTGTCCAGCTATTGTATAATTAAATAAATAAATAAAACCCTAATCCCGTTATTTCATATTAGCCGATTCACGCCCGAGTCTTCGTCTTCGCCTTAATCTCATATTCCTATTTGTATTCGTGGTCTTCCCCAGCGATTGAGGCGAGCAGCGGTCAACTGGAGATCAATCGCACCCTTGGTCTGTCGATCTTCCCTTCCGGCCGTAAGCAACAAGCCATCCTCCTTAGTTTCTATGCGCAACTGAGCGAAGCCGACGCCAAACCATAGAAAATTTTTCAAACCTGTAAGTTGATTTCATGAATTTGTTATTTTTTCTGCATTCGTCATTTCTCTTCATTTATCAATGATTCTGTAGATTTGTGATCAGAAGAGCATATTTTTTAAAAGTATTTTATTTGGTTTGGATTAAAATTATTCTTACAATAAAAATTTATTTATTTAATGTGCTTTCACTGCGCTTTTGTTGCGCTCTCATTCTTACAATAAAAAATTTTTGTTTGGCAATTGGTCGAACCCCGCCAGGGGCAGCGCCCCCCTTGGAACCCTGGCTAGCTGCAAATTTTTAATCCAAGATGTTTTAAACTTTGTTTGGCAATTTTTTATTATTTTATAATATGCCACCCAATTTATTAAGCCTTTATTTATTCTACTTCAACTGTGAATTTAAAAGCAAAATGAGCTCTAGTGCAGGTGGGAGTGGTTCAAAACAGCCATCTATAGAAATTGATAAGTCATTATGGATTCATATTACAAAGTTAGGAAAAACTTTTGAAGGAGGAGGGAATGTGTCATTCAAATGCAATTATTGTGGTGGCACCTATAAAGGATCTTATTCTAGGGTGAAAGCACATCTACTTAAGATTTTTGGCCATGGAATTAAAATGTGTCCTAAGATTACTACGTCACAATTGATTGAATTGAATAGACAAGTTGATGAAGTTGAATATAGGATCAAAAGGGCACTTCCTAAAGAAATATCTTTGTCATACCCATAGTTCATCCCACATTTCTTCCTCATCTGTTAGAATTGATCATTCCTTATCATATAGAAGTTAATGATATGATTTAAAGAAAAGAAAAAAGAGGTGCCAATAGTGCTTTAGAGAAGGCTTTTAACATGCAACAGCGAGAGGAATTGGATGGCGAAATTGCAAGGATGTTTTTTTCAGCTGGACTTCCTTTCAACCTTGCAAGAAATCTTCATTACAAAAATGCATTCACTTTTGCATGCAATAACAACCTTGTAGGTTATATACCACATGGCTACAATGCATTAAGATCAAAATTATTGGAAAGGGAAAGAGCGTATATTGAAACATTGCCTGAACTAATAAAAGGTGTGTGGAAAGAAAAAGGAGTCACTTTGATGTGTGATGGTTGGACTAATCCTCAAAGAAGACCACTCATTAATTTCATGGCCGTTACAGAAAATTGTCCAATGTTTATTAAAACTGTGAATTGTGAAGGAGAATACAAGGATAAATATTTTATTGTCAATTTGATTAAAAAGGTGATAATCATTATTGGGCTTTCAAATGTTGTGCAAGTTATAACAGATAAATGCACTGGTGTGTAGAGCTGCAGGATTGTTGGTGGAGTAAACTTATCCTCATATATTTTGGACTCTATGTGTTGTACACACTTTAAATCTTGCTCTAAAAAATATTTGTGCAGCAAATAATACAGAGGCAAATGAAATCATATATGCTGAATGTCATTGGATAATAGTGGTTGCAGATGATGCTGTTTTGATAAAAAATTTCATTATGAACCACTCAACGAGACTTTCAATATTTAATGATTTCTCACATTTGAGAATATTAGTTGTTGTTGAAACTCGTTTTGCCTCTGTAATAATCATGTTGAGAAGATTCAAATAAATAAAAAATGCTCTTCAATCTATGATGATTAGTGAGAAGTAGTCTTGCTATCGAGAAGATGATGTTGGGAAGGCAAAGTATGTGAAAGAAAAGGTCTTAGATGATTTGTGGTGGGATGATGTAGATTACATTTTGGCTTTCACTAATCTGATTTATGGCATGTTGAGAGAGGCTGACACAGATAAATCATGACTACATTTGATTTATGAGATGTGGGACTCTATGTTAACAAAAGTGAAAGAAATTATGTACAGACATGAAAGAACGTCACATAATAAAGACTCAAGTTTTTGAAGCATTGTCTATACCATTCTTAAAAATAGGTGGATCAAAAGCAACAACCTCTATATTTTTTGACCCATTCATTAAATCCAATGTACATTTATATTCATCTTTTAAATTAATTTTAAATTTTTTTATAAATGAATAAATAATTTTATATGTTTTGTATTATTTGAAGATATTCAAGTAAATAATGGTTTCAAGAAGACCCTCAAAGTGTCTCACCACAAAAAAATTTAGAAGTGT